TTCAAGTTTGGTTTTGTTGATGGTTCTATCTTCACTACTAGAAAACAAGCAAATTACGACGGACTTGTTCCGACGGACCCGAATTTCCGTCGCAAAAAGTGAAATTTCCGACGGATTTCAGACGAATATAAATTCTGTCGGAAATTTTTATTTCAGACGGAATTTTTCGTCGTAATTTACAATTTTCGACGAAATTATAGTCCGTCGGAAAGTTCCGACGGAATTTTCCGTCGGAATTTACAATTTTCGACGGAATTTTCCGTCGGAAAATAATTAAAAAAAATTATACTTAAATTCCCAAACCCTAAAGCAGCCCCTTCCCCCTTTGTTATTTCCGCCTCTCTTTCTCTCTCTAAGTTTTTGCTCTCTCCTTCTCTCTCTCCCCTCCTTCGTTCCCCCTTTCTCAGTCCTCTGTTCTCCTTCTTCTCCTTCGTTCTCCCCTCTTCTCTTCTCCTTCGTTCTCCCCTCTTCTCTTCTCCTTCTCTTTCCTTTCTTCTTCTCTTCACCACCCTTTCTCTCTCCTTCGTTTCTTTTCTCTTCACCTACATCAAACAACGACAACAACAACGAGATTCGCAACAACACACCACCATCAACCGACAACAACAACCGCAACAACACACCACCACCAACATCAATCGCGCGCAACAGATTCGCAACACAACCGGGCTGCATCAATATCAAACCCAGCAACCACCGTCTTTTTTGGTAGATCTTGTTTTAATTTAGGATAGATTCGTAGATCTAGTTAATTCTATATGTTATTGTAATGATAAATTGTAAATTTAAAAAGATAATTGTATGTTTATATAGTTGATTTAATTTTTGTTGATTAAACATCGTTTTATTTTATGAAATTTTATTAAATATGTAGATATACTGGTTTTGTGTGTTATTTCTTGCTTTAGTCGTGTAATTTTTTTTTTGGGTTAATTTACGATTTTTGGGGGTATTTTATGGTTTTTGGGGCTAATTTTTTGTTATGGTGGTGTCGGTGGTGGTGTATGGTGGTGGGATAGGGTCGGTGGTGGTGTGTGGTGGTGTGGGTTGTGGTTGGGTCCGGATGGGGGGAAGACTGGTGGTGTTGGGTGGTGGTGTGTGGTTGTGGTTGGGTCCGGATGGGGGGAAGACTGGTGGTGTGGGGTGGTGGTGTGTGGTTGTGGTTGGGTCTGGATGGGGGGGACTGGTGGTGTGGGGTGGTGGGTGGCTGTTTTTTTTTGTTTTTTTTGAAACATTTTTACGACGGAATTTCCGTCGAAAAATTCCGGCGGATTATATTCCGTCGGAATTTTCCGACGGATTTTCACTGGCCTGAAAATCCCTGCCGACAGATGAAATTCCGTCGGAATTTACGTCGGAATAGTGTTTCCGACGGAAATTTCGTCGGAAAAGCTGGTTTTCCTACAATATGTATTTCGACGACCCGTTACGACGGAAATTCCGTCGGAAACCCCATTTCCGACGGAATTTAGGGTGTTTCCGACGGAAAAATTCCGTCGTTATTTGCATGTTTTCTAGTAGTGTTTAGAGCCGACAGATGATTTAAAGAAGAAGCATTGGGTGGCTGTGAATTCTATGCTTGTGTCGTGGATTACTAATACCCTTGATGAAGGCTTGCGTTCTCAAATTGAGGATTTTGATATTGCAAGTGACTTGTGGATTCACCTTAAACAAAGGTACTGTGTAGTAAGTGGTACTCGAATTTGTCAACTTAAACAATCTTTAGGGGAGTGTAAGCAGACCCCTTCCGAGCCAATGACGGACTATTTTGGTAGATTATCCAAAATAGTGAAGGAATTGGTGCAATACTGTCGTGTCCCGAAGTGCTCTTGTGGTGGTTGCAAGTGTAACATTGCTCGGCAAGTTACAGAAATTCGATAGGAGGATTATCTACATTATTTTTTGATGGGTCTTGATGATCCGTATGAAGCAATTCGAGCACAATTACTAGCACAATCACCTTTGCCTTTGGTTGATAGTGCTTACCAAACGGTGATCAATACGGAGAGATTACGTGTTCGAGATAGCAAACCAAAGGAGAACGTTATGGAGTTCAAGGTGGATTCCCGTACAAGGAGTGATACAAATGATGGAGATCGGCCATTTTGTACTCATTGTAATCGTATGGGACATGAGAACAAAGGTTGCTATCAAATTATTGGCTTTCCGCCCGGTTGGGATGAGAATCGGAAAGGCGGTAGAGGCCGTGGAAGAGGAGGCTCCAACAATCGAGGAGTTAATGGTGGTCGTGGCAGTGGGGGGGAGCGTGGTTCATCTAACGCCCCTGCTGCAGCTCGGGCTAATGCGGTGCAAGGTGGATCGTCTCAGAATGCAGGCAATTCATCTTCTTTGGCAAGTTCTATACAAGGACTTGCGGGTGTGTCGTCGGAGCAAGCACAACAAATAATAGATATTCTATCGAAACCCAAGGCACGTTTGGAAGGTAATACAGGCGGCTTATGGATTGTGGATACAGGAGCCTCTAACCATGTTACTAATGACATATCAATCATGAAAAATATTAAAACGATACAAAATTGTCCGGTTGGTTTACCGGATGGTCAAACGGTGAATGCGAATCAATTGGGTTCGGTCACTTTAGATGGTGGTTTGGTGATTGATAATGTTTTATTTGTACCTTACTTGAATTGTAACTTGATTTCCGTTACTCAACTGAGTGATGAGTTGCATTGTAATGTACAATTTACTAACAAAATTTGTGTTATTCAGGACCAGTCGACGAGGACGGTGATTGGTGTGGGTGAACGACGAGATGGACTTTATTTTTTCCGTGGTGTGCCGCAAGTGAAGGTGCTAGCAGTGGATTGTGTGGTGGATCTTTGGCATCAACGAATGGGACATCCGTCGGAGAAGGTTTTAAAGTTACTTCCCCCTGTGAGTAACTCTACTAGGAAGAATAATAATGTGTGTGATGTATTCCCTCGGGCAAAACAGTCTAGAGATAGTTTTCCTATTAGTGAGAATAATGCTAGTGGTTTGTTTGATTTAGTTCATATTGATTTGTGGGGTCCTTACAAGATAGCATCGTCTTGTGGTTCGAAATTATTTTTGACAATAGTGGATGATTTTTCTAGAGGTGTTTGGATTTATTTAATTCGCAATAAAACCGTTGTTGAGTTTACTTTTCTTAATTTTATTGCTTTGATAAAACGCCAATTTGGTAGAGATATTAAGGTGGTTAGGAGTGACAATGGTACAAAGTTTAATCACCTTAAAGAGTATTTTACTAGCAATGGCATTGTCTTTGAGTCCTCTTGTGTTGGTACACCTCAACAAAACGGGAGAGTGGAAAGAAAACATCAACATATTTTAAATGTGGCTAGAGCATTGAAATTTCAAGGTAGATTACCTATTAAATTTTGGGGGGAGTGTGTATTAACGGCTTGTTATTTGATTAATCGTACTCTGAGTCATCTACTTAAATATAAAACTCCGTATGAGATGTTGTTTGGTAAAATCCTGTCTTATGAGACTATTCGGGTTTTTGGGTGTTTGTGTTATGCATATAATCAACGGAGTAAGGGGGACAAATTTGATTCTCGAAGTCGAAAATGTGTGTTTCTTGGTTATCCATTTGGAAAAAAAGGGTGGCAATTATTTGACTTAGAGACTCGGGAATTTATTGTGTCTAGAGATGTTAAATTTCATGAACGGGTTTTTCCGTTTGGGGAGGAAAAGAGTACGAATTTGACAGAGTGTAAGGTAAATGGTGAGCTCGATTTTTTTGCAAGTGATGATGGGATTGAACAGTGGCAAATGGGTACATACTTTGGGGTGCATAAGGAGAGTGAGCAGGCTGCTGGAACACCAGAGCAAGCTGCTGGGAAGCAGCAACTACGTGGCCAAGCCACTGCCCAGCAGATTGCAGAGGGCGTTGCTCAACAGCTCGAGGCAGACAACTCCGCGGGCAGGCTGCGGGAGATGGCAGCAGGCCGCGGGGTGGCTGCGGAGGCACCTGTACAGCAACCCGTGCAGCAGCTCCACGCAGACCACTCCGCGGGCAGGTCGCGGGAGATGGCAGCAGGCCGTGGGGCGGCTGCGGAGGCACTTGTACAGCAGCCCGTGGCTGGGAATGAAGAGAATAGGAGAGTAGAAATGGGTGAAGAAGATCTAGGTCGGGGAAAACGTGTAAAATTTCCTTAGACAAAGATTCGAGATTGTGTCACTCATACCATTCGGAAAAATAAAGTCTCGTCGGGGTCATCCGCAGAATCATCTTCCTCAGGTACTCTCTATCCTATAACATATTTTGTTAATTATGATCGGTTTTCCGAAAAACATAGAAATTATATTGCTGCAGTAACAGAGGCACGCATACCGAGGTCTTTCAAGGAAGCAATGTAACATGAAAGTTGGAGAGAAGCTATGACCTTAGAAATAAAGGCTCTCGAAGATCAAGGCACTTGGACCTTGGAGAATCTTCCGGCGGGAAAGAAAGCACTTGGAAGCAAGTGGGTTTACACTGAGAAGAGAGATGAAGGTGGTAACTTGTTGCGATTAAAAGCAAGACTTGTGGTGTTTGGTAATCATTAGGAAGAAGGGATCGATTACAATGAAACATTTGCGCCAGTGGCAAAAATGTCTACGGTATGTACTTTCTTAGCAGTGGCAGCGATTAAAAATTGGGATGTACATCAAATGGATGTACATAATGCTTTCTTGCACGGTGATTTGGAGGAGGAGATTTATATGAAAGTACCACCGGGATTTCAAAAAGGCAATTCAGATAAGGTCTGTAAGATGAATAAGTCCTTATATGGATTGAAGCAAGCTCCTAGATGTTGGTTTGAAAAATTGTCTACAGCCTTGAAGAAATATGGATTTAAACAATCGTATTCCGACTATTCTTTATTCACTCTTTCGAAGGGTGGAATGCAGTTGAGTGTCTTGGTTTATGTAGATGATATGATAATAGCAGGAAATAATACAATTGCATTGGAGAGTTTTAAATTAAAGCATACTTGTGTAAATGTTTTAATATGAAAGATCTGGGCGCCGTGAAATATTTTTTGGGGCTTGAAGTGGCACATAGTAAACATGGTTTCTATGTGTGCCAACGTAAGTATGCTTTAGATATTATTTCTGAGACAGGGTTACTAGGAGCAAAGCCTGCAGACTTTCCGATGGTGCAAAATCACAAACTTGCTTTAGTAGAAGGGAAAGAGTTCGCAGATGGTGAACGATATAGGCGATTGATTGGTCGCCTTATATATTTGGTAGTCACAAGGCCGGATTTGGCTTATTCGGTGCATATTTTGTCACAATTTATGCAATGTCCGAAAGAGGAACATTGGGAGGCGACATTGAGAGTAGTTAGATACTTGAAGAAATGTCTGGGTCAAGGCATTCTTTTGAGATCAGATAGTGCACTACAATTGGAAGGATGGTGTGATTCGGATTGGGCGAGTTGTCCTTTGACTCGTAGGTCGTTGACCGGTTGGTTTGTATTGCTTGGGTTGTCACCGGTGTCCTGGAAGACTAAAAAGCAACCAACAGTTTCTACAAGTTCCACAGAGGCCGAGTATCGGGCAATGACAGGGTTGCAATGTGAGTTCAAACACTTGAAACAAATTCTCCAGTCTTTGGGTGTAGAACATAAACAAGGTATGAACATGTATTGTGATAGTCAGTCGGCTCTCCACGTTGCTAATAATCCGGTGTTCCATGAGAGGACAAAACACATTGAGGTAGATTGTCATTTTATTAGGGATGCTATTAAAGAAGGTGAGATTAAGCCATCGTATGTTTCCACGAAGATTCAGTTGGCGGATATTTTTACAAAAGCGTTAGGAAAGGCGCAATTTGAATTCTTACTTGGCAAGATGGGCATTCGAGATCTACATGCTCCATCTTGAGGGGGGATGTTAAGATAATATTAGGAAATATTGTATAATATCTTTAGATTTCCTAGTTATGTTAATATTTTATCTTATTCCTAATTATGTTAGGGTTAGGAATATCTTATATAACTATATATATTCTTAAGTGGTGAATGAGAAAGTCAAGAGTTTCTATTCAATTTGTCACTATAACTATTACAAACTAAAATTTCTCTTATCAAACTAAACTATTACATTGAACTAAACTAGCTCTTAATACAAAATACACATATATAATTAATTAACATTGTCTGTTCATTTATATATTACAATTTAATGTTACATTGATCACTTACATAATAATTACTAACATAAACTTCGATTCTATTTTCAAACTATTTCGTAAAATCCTTTCTCTCAAATATATTATTGGCCAAGTAACGTTTGAAGTGCCATATATACGAACTTACGAAGTATATATGGTTTAGGGTGTTATGGTAGTGTGTCTGGAAGATCTTCTTTGTTAGCAGCATTTGAAGAAAGCTCAAGAGAGTCGACGAATGTAACAACCCTATCTTTTCTAAACATGAGATAGATTACTCCTACAACATAAAGAGCTATTAAGGGAAACACCGCGATTCCAATGAACACATTGCTTATTCTTGACAAACTACTATGAATTAGCCAACCCACAAATCCTGTGCTAAGGAAATATATGTCGATGCCCATTATTCCTAGTCCCAAACTCCATGAGATGATCATAATCTGCATGCTCAAATTTAATTTAGTTAAAGCCATATTTTAATTAATTAGTAGTTTTACTTATGCTTTTAGAAATTTAAAATGACCATAACTTACAATAATGGAGTTCTTGTGAGGTCCCATCTTAGTGGAACTACCGCTGAACTTAAGCAGTGGAATTAGAGCAAATGGAACCCCAAATGATGCTATCATCTGCAATATAATAAGTATCATATATTAGAGGTGATCAAAGGTAAAAAAAATTAGCCCGCTTGGTCAGGGCAAAATAAGGTTTGAGCTGAAAATGTTTGCCCGAATTCCGCAAATTTGAAAAGGGTGTAGTGGGCTTTTCGGACCGAGCCAAAAAATATCTATAAAACTTAAAAATACATATTTATGGGCCGCAAGAAAATAAAAAAAATCGAGTTGGGCCCTAATGAGTCATGACGAAATTTTTTCCCAAATGGGCCGGGCCTAACATAATCGGCTCTAATTAGAATGTGTTATCCTTAATATATGTGTTGAGAGTGAATGCAACCTTGTTTGTTCATATAATAGGTTAGAGACACGAACCGAGGTAATAATAATGAGCTTCCCAGCTCCTGATGATCCTCCAATGATTGAAACTATTAGGCTTGGTGCAATTGAGATGCATCGAGTCATTAAGTTCCTTGACCATGATTTCATCTTGATGTCTAAAAATCCCTGAAAGTAATAATAAAACATATAAATTACTAATAATAATAATAACAATAATAATAATAATAGTAACTATCATTATGTAATTTTATCGCTATTCAATCTATCACAAAAATTGATTTCGTTATTTAGGTTATTATAACAACTAACTAATTACTTGTCACGACTTTGGGACCTTTACAATTGTCACTGTATAACTTCATGACCACGAACATGTTAAATAATAAATGTATGTTTTGAAATAAATTTAACAAGATCTTGAGGACTGTGCATGTTTTTCCACAATCAAGTATGTATAATCACGACATAGTGTATCTGTGCAGCTTAAACTAAGTGGTGTCGTCATTAAATTATATTCTCTATAATTAAGATTAATATACAACAATGAAGATTGTCATTAAGAAAATACAGGGCTAGTTAATTACTGTGTTACCTGCATAATGTATTGGCCAGCATAAGTGCCAGTGATTGTAGAGCTTTGTCCAGATGCAAAGAGGGCAATTCCATAAATAATAGAGGCAGATTTTCGGCCCAAAACGTTTTTTAGAAGAAGATTTGCATTATTAAGTGTTAAAACACTGCATAACTCTGCCACTTCTGGTGTAAGACTATCTCCTGAACATATTCTGCCTGATACCGATACAACAGCTACGTTGATCAAGAACGCAAGTATGAAGGCGAAACCACTCTCTAGTAGAAAGTATCTACATGCATCCTGAACATCGAACAATCATTTATGACAAAGTATTAGTAATTGGAGAAATTACGTAGATTACAATGTTTGGTAAAATTAGCTGAAAGCTGAAGTTAAAATATACGTGTAATGTTCAAAACAAATTGAGATTATATTTTTTTGGTAATATACGTTAATGCCTTTTGTAGACTTGGGTACTTTTCTGGTTAACACAAGAGCCGAGTGGAGAAAGAGGTTGTGCCTGTCAAGTTTAATTATTTGCAAGCAAAATGATTAGATAACTTATCGAAAAATTAACATAATTAATCAATCAAGTAAAACGTAATATATATGAAGTTTTTATGATATAGTTGGAGTGATTAATATGTGAACTTACGGCATAATAGAAGCACCCAACAACGCAATGGCATCAGCAGTGGCCTCGTTGCCTGCGAGCTTAGGTATAAACATGCCCTTGATTACCTCTTCCGCCGGCGGCTTTACATAACCCATTTCTCCGAAGAAGCAAGCACCCATTACAAGCATAAACATTGCTATCAATATTTCCAACTTTCTAACCTATATCGATACCAAAAACCCGAGACAAAAAAAATTACTAATCAATTAAACAAAATACTTTGTACATACATGAATATTGACTAGCATATATATTGTCCAAGTTTCGTGAAACTTGACTAGTTTGTAGATGATTAGCAACAATGACATGTACAATTCAAATCACGCATAATCTTGCCATTTTAGGATGTACTGTCGTAAAAAATAGTATCAAGTTATGAAGCTAATAATGACTCAGGGCATGTTGCATTGTTTTCAGCTTATTTTCAGTTCATTTCACTTCAAATCAGCTTCAATAAGTTTAATTTAGTTCAGTTCAGTTTTTAATTTCCTTCTCTCATAAATTATTCAGTTCAATTTTATTCAACTCCAATAAGTTCAGTTCATTTCAATTCAGTTCAGTAAATCATAACATACCCTTAGACCTTAGTTGAATGTTACATGGTTTCATTAATTAAGTTGTTATAGGCCGGGTATGGTCTTTTCTTGTAAGAAAATAGAATAAAAATTCATGTTATAGTGTTAGACTAGATAAATATGTAAATATTTATTGTCCATAATTAGCAATGTATTTTGTGAGAAAATAGTAAAGCTATCATTATCCTACTCTCGCCCATTATCACATTGTAAGGCTTTGATGGACATCCCAAATTGAGTTTTAACATATGCAAAAAAACTCAAGAAAGTGGAAAACACACTAGATTTTGTTTTAAGAGGAAACACCCAAAGATAAAGAAAATAGTCACCAAGAAAGAGGAATACATACCCCATATCTATGGATTCCGAGGAGGAGGAGAGTGCTTAAACCAGTAAGAAGAACACCAGCCCAAAGAGGAATCTGAAATAGAATGTTTAATGAGAAGGCGGTCGCAATGACTTCAGGTATATCAGCTGCTACTACAGCCAACTCTGCTAGCAACCATAACCCGTAATTCACTACCATTGGGTACTCCGATTTGCAATGCTCCGACAAGTGTTTGCCTGAATAAAAACAATTTATTTTGCTACAATAAATTAGGTTTAGTTTGATTAAAAGTTGACATTTTAAGGTTTAATTTAAAATTAAGTACGTATGATTGTATGAATTAATTTGAAATTAAACCTTATTACCAGTGGATACTCCTAGGTTTGCTGCTAGAGATTGCGTAATTAAAGCGAAAATTAATCCAGTAAGTACCACCCATAGAAGCTGTAAATTATCAAGATCAGATCATCCAAATTTATTAGACATTATGCATGAATTTAACTAATTGTATCATACAAATTAAATCATGGAAATCATGGTATTACACTATTCTATCACCTGGTATTTATGATTAGCTCCAGCTTGCAAGTCAGTTTCCACTGTGACATAAAAATTAAAAGACAGGCTATATAAGAACTCTTTGGGGTTTACATGCATGTGACTTCTTGGCCACGTTATTTCATGGCCGCCCTTGAAAAAATACTCCGTAACCTTAATTGTTACAGACTTACAATAACTTATTGTTTTGAGACGAATGAATTACTTCTATTGTCTATATATATATTATTTTTTTTCAATTGGTTCACTTCAAATAATTAATTAACTATATTTATTAATAGCAAGAGAAACTTACAATTGCCAGGGTCGAGATAAGCCATTGAAACTAGAAATCCAGGACCAACAAATGATAAAAACTTTCTCCACATGGGTTCCTATCAATCAAACATTCACCTCCGTTCATTGAATGTATATATCACTTTGACTTTTTTAAATATACTGGTTAAAGTGATGCAATTACTCTAAAACAAATGGAGTACATGAAGTACATGCATGCGGAATAAATGCATTAATTTAGTAATAGTTAGTAAATTGGTAATATTGACGATAAATGAATTATCCATCATGTACAAACGATATAATTAATTAATGAAATTAAACTAGAGATCATTTTAAAAAAAATTAAGATCATGACCTGTTGATCAGTTGAATTTTCATCGAATCGTTTACTAGAAGAAAGAGGGAGAGGATCATTAGTATTACTAATCTCGTTACTTTCATCTTCATCAACTCCCTTAACATCAATGGCAACTATTCGATTGCTGCTTCCTAGAATGCCAGATCTTCTTATTTCATTCTCATCAATAAGTTTTGCCATAACACTATTTGTTTTAAATTTTCTAAATTTCTATCTATAAAATGGTGCTCATTTGTTAACCTATATATAGTACGATAAAGTATACTATAAAAGAAACAAATTTAATTATATAATATGAAATAATTCGTACCATATCTAAGAAAGCAGTGATGTAATCTGTATGATTAATTAAACAACCTAATGGGGTTTGGTAATGTACTTTCATAAACTTTCAAAATCATATTGTCTTTTTTTTTTTTAGTTTCATTAAATAAATAATGTGTTAACTGAAAACGAGAATACTAACCGAAATATTCACTCATAAAGTCATAAGAAAACAATACCGTACGGAGTACTAATCAACTAGGGGTACAAAGTTAAAAGTAGGTGTATATATTTACGATTAGACATTTCTCATCTCTGCTTTATGTCAAATTGTTACACATAACCTGTAACAGAGATAATATTATTAACTTCTAAGGTGGTAGCTCTACCATTATTATCGATCGAGTTAATTAGCTGTATAGCAGTCCATTAAAAATTTTATTCTCTATAACTCTTGTTTATGGAACATAAATGTAATAAAATTTATTTCATTATTACATTGTTCAATAATTCAATTATTCATTGGAGACCATAGAAAATAAAACATTTCAAATGAAAAGAAACGATAATTTCTCAAGTTTTTAGATAATAATCATAATAATATTTCATTCTTTTTAAAGTCTTTTTTCGATCTGTAAATACTAAATAGGAGATCAATAGAAAACGGATGCAACAAATTAAATCGAGCTCACTATCTATATCACACATGCTTGAATTGCAACATCTCATAGTCGGATATTCTCATCTACGGAACTAGACAGTATCTAGTAAAGTTGGTGGTATAAACTATAATAACGTGATGACACAAAGAGAAGAACAAAATTGATGATTTCATGAACAAGTAGGTGTTTTGTACCATAATGATTTGGAATTGTATCAAATATTCATATTCATAAAAATAAAAGTACAAAAGTCGGTCCGTTTTAGAGTTAATAACAACTACTACATTAAAGTTTAAGGATCTTCTTCTTAACTATAGGAATAAGTTTGAATTGAATCCCTAAATTACATTCCTACTTCTCTCTATTATGTGAGGAATAATTGCAAGAAGTAGAAATGTAATTTAGGGACAGATTGAGTCTTAACTGTACTGTTTGTAACTGTTTAATAACTTTAATTTATACATGCCTTAATTTAATTAAGTAATGTCGTCGTATAGTAGCATAAGCAAGGGAATATCTTTTAATATATAAAACATGCAATTAAGATACACATAGTAGCATTTATATTACAAAAGTAGGTCCATTTTAGAGGTTTAAAAAAAATATACACATAGTAGCATTTATATTACGTATAAACTATATGTTGTGTTGCACCTTTAGAGTACGGACTAGTCGAGTACATTGTATTATCATGGCTGCGTGTCGTAATTATAAGGAGTAGTTTGTAGTTAATTAGAATTTATGTCGACATTAACAATTTAAATATTCTTTGTAATTGTTGTATTTCTTATAAGTACAGTACACCAATCTCGCTCATTTTGAATTTTCTTTCAAATTAGTACAATCTAGAGCTGTTAATTCGGGTAAACGGGTCGGGTTTGAGTCGGGTAAGAGTGAGTCGGGTCAACTCGGGCCGAGTCAATTTAGATTAATTCCATAACCTATGCGAGTAGGGTTTAGGTTGGGTCATACTTGAATCGGGTCACGTCAGGTCATACTTTTAATCGGGTTTGGGTCGGGTTAATAACAGGTCGGGCACATTCGGGTCGGGTTTTATTCGGGTTTTCACGAGTTAGGGTAATTCTCGAGTTCGAGTCGGGTTTGATTCAAGTCAATAACTTACGGGTTAGAATCAGGACGGGTCATTCTCGGGTTTGAGTCGGGTTTGGTTCAAGTCAGTAATTTGCGGATTATAATCAGGTCGGGTCATTTTCAAGTCGGGTCATTCTCGGATTCAAATCGGGTTCGGTTCAAGTCAATAATTTGCGGGTTATAATCAGGTCGGGTCATTTTCAAGTCAGGTCATTCTCGGGTTCAAGTCGGGTTCGGTTCAAGTCAATAATTTGCAGGTAAAAATCAGGTCGAGTCATATCCAAGTCAGGTCATATTCGGGTTCAACTAACTATATGTAGATAACTATCATTTTTATCAAGCTAATTATTTCCCTTGACTATAACATATATGGCAATATACTAGAGAACTATTGTCTATAATATATGAATTGAAGATAATTATCTCCTTTGACCATACAAAAAATAAATATTATATTTAACTCTTAAATTGAAGGATGATGCTCCTTTCTTTTGTTAGCCTGGACCGACTTGGTCTCCCAAGATAAATTGCTTTGATCAACAATAATAAGGTGGTCTAAATTGCATTTAAGGTGATTTGAAATCGGGTCAGGAACAATTTGTGATAAATTTAGGTTGGGTCAATAACAAGTTGTGTTAATTTCGAGTCGGGTTAGTAAAAGATCGGGTTGAATTTTTGGGTTGGGTAAGTAATAGGTAAATAAAATTCGGGTCAAGTTAATAACAAGTCGGGTTGAATTTGGGTCAGGTCAATAACAAGTTGGGTTGATTTCGCGTCAGGTTTGTAACAGGTTGGGTTAAATTCGGGTAGGTTTAAGAACGGGTCGGGTTGAATTCAGGTCAGGTTAGTAACAAGTCGGGTTAAATTCGGGTTTTGACGGGATAAAACGGGTTTGGGTCAATTTCAGTTCAAGTTGGGTTTGGTGCAAGTTAATTAAATTGGTTGTGGTAAACCGGTAAATCGATGCAAGTTGTAAACCAATAAATTTGCCGTTTAAAAGCAAATTGAATGGTTCTACACACCCAATTGAACTACCGGAGGGTATTAGGGACCATGGTAAACATTTCGGCAATTTTTATTTCCAAGCGAATAAAAGTCAAAAAATTCCAAAATTGAAGACTAATAATCCACGCTTTTTAAGAAATTTTGGAGGTTTCGCGTCCCGGTGTAGAATAATATTAATATTTTAGGGGATACATCTCTGGGTCATATAATGCCGTTTGGAACCATATATGATCATTATATGTTGTCATAAATAATCGTAGTAGGCTTGAGTTAATGAAATCCGTGCAAGTTGTAAATCGGTAATTAAATAGGCCGTTTAAAGGTAAATTGGATGGTTCCACCAACCCAATTGGACACTCGGAGGATATTAGGGATCATGGGTAAACATTTCGGCAATTTTTATTTCCGGGCAAAAAAAGACAAAAAATTCCAAAATTAAAGACTAATAACCCTACTTTTTAGAAATTTTGGAGGTTTCGGGGCCCGATGTAGAAAATTATTAATATTTTAGAGGATACATCTCGGGGTCATATAATGACATTTGGAACCATATATGATCATAATATGTTGTCATAAATGTTCGTAGTAGGCTTGAGTTAATGAAATCCGTGCAAATTGTAAATCGGTAATTAAATTGGCCGTTTAAAGGAAAATTGGATGGTTCCACCAACCCAATTGGACGCTCGGAGGGTAGTAGGGACCATGGGTAAACATTTTGGCAATTTTTATTTTCGGGCGAAAAAAAGTCAAAAAATTCCAAAATTGAAGACTAATATTCATGCTTTTTAAAAATTTTGGAGGTTTCGGGGTACGATGTAGAAAAATATTAATATTTTAGGGGATACATCTTGGGGTCATATAATGACGTTTGGAACCATATATGATCATTATAGTTGTCATAAATGTTCGTAGTAGGCTTGAGTTAATGAAATCCGTGCAAGTTGTAAATCAGTAATTAAATTGGCCGTTTAAAGGTAAATTGGATGGTTCCACCAACCCAATTGGATGCCCGGAGGATATTAGGGACTATGGTAAACATTTCGACAAATTATATTTCCGGGCGAAAAATAGTCAAAAAATTCCAAAATTGAAGACTAATATCCACACTTTTTGCGAAATTTTGGAGGTTTGAGGCCCGGTGTCGAAAAGTCTTGAAATTCTAGGGGATACATCTCGGGGTCACATAATGCTGTTTGGAACCATATATGATCATTATTTGTTGTCATAAGTGTTCGTGGTAGGCTTTAGTAAATGAAATCGGTGCAAGTTGTAAAACGGTAAATTGGTTGTTTAGATGCAAATTGATGGTTCCACCCACCCAATTGGATTAAAAGATAGTATTCGGGATCATGGTAAAATTTTGTCAATTTTTATTTTTGTGCGAAAAAAGTAAAAAAATACCAAAATTGAAGGCTAATATCCACGCGTTTTGAGAAATTTTTTAGGTTTCAGCGGCCCGTGTCGAGAAGCTTTGATATTTTAGGGGATACATCTCTGGATCATATAATACTGTTTTAAACCATAAATGATCATTATATGTTTTCATAAATGTTCGTGGTATGCTTGAGTTAATGAAATCAGTGCAAGTTGTAAACCGATAAATTCGCCATTTTAAGGCAAATTACATGGTTTCATCCACCTAATTGGACTTCTGAATCGTATTAGGGACCATGGTAAATATTTCGACAATTTTTATTTACAAGCGAAAAAAGTCAAAAAATTCCAAAATTTAAGGTTAATTTCCACGCTTTTTGATAAATTTTGGAGGTTTCGAGGCCTGGTATCGAAAATCCTTGAGATTCTTGAGATTTTAGGGGATATATCTCCGGGTCATATAACGCCGTTTGAAACCATATATGATCATTATATGTTGTCATAAATGTTTGTGGTAGGCTTGAGTTAATGAATTCGGTGCAAGTTGTAAACCAGTAAATTGTTCGTTTAAAGGCAAATTGAATGGTTCCACCCAGCCAATTGGACTCCAGGAGGGTATTAGGAAACATGGTAAACATTTTGGAAATTTATATTTTCGAGCGAAAAGTGTCAAAAAATACTAAAATTGAAGACTAATATCCACGTATTTTGCGAAATTTTGAAGATTTTAGGACTCGATGTCGAAAAGTCTTTAAATTCCAAGGAATACATCTTGGTGTCATA